AACAAGGGCAAACTACTAAACGTAAGAAATCCGTAGAAAAACCACAACAGCCAAGAAATGCTAGAGTTGGTTCTGCAACGTCCCGTAAAGAAAAGCATCATCATAAGGTGCCTATCCGACTGGTTGGGGCGGTCATGCCTCTCCAAAATCTACAATCTCCTGCAGGATGTATCAGTTCGTGTGCCGACCCACCTCCATGCCATGCAACAAGACTGTCAAGAATCTTCTCTCGTTGTCTTCCTCTATCCCTCCTTCCACAGATGTTCCATTTTCCCTCTTCTCATAACATGGCCGAAAAATGATGACTGTCTCCTTCTGATGTCTGTGATTAGTTGTCTTCGGGCTCCCGCCCCTTTCAAAACCTTTTGGTTGCACTTTTTGGTTGTCCAAGGTTTTCTAAGCATTCTTCTGTAAAAGGATACACAACTAACTAAATGTGTTTGTTTATACTAATGTATGAGTATACGCGCTTCCGTGTGTACGCATGAATCAATAGATGAAAAAAAAAAAAAATATATATATATATATATATATATATATATATATATATATATATATATATATATATATATATATATATATATATATATATATATGTGTGTGTGTGTGTGTGTGTGTGTGTAAAAATATATGTATGTATATATATATATATATATATATATATATATATATGTGTGTGTGTGTGTGTGTAAAAATATATGTATATGTATATATATATATGTGTGTGTGTGTAAAAAATATATATATATATATATATATATATATATATATATATATATATATATATATATTACTAGGTGTGGGTGGATATATGGACAGATAGAGCAATGAATCCTGAGAACTCTGACTTATTTTATCGTATTTTACCAGTTCACGTTGTGATCAAACTTACGCTGGCTGCATTTTATTTGATAGTAGGGTCAGGTCGGTTCATGTTAATGAACTTCGAATTGCCGTATCACTTTGCTCTCTTTTCATCTTATTATAAAATTACTTGGCTAATCCTAAAGGAACAATGCTTAACTGGTTCTGTCTGTTCTTTCAGGTGATGATGAAGTTTGCCCGGTCATATAACCTGATGGCCAACGAGTTAATAGACAGAAGGATGTCCAGCACTGACCAGCAAGTTATTGGAGCCATGTACTCTCCAGAATACATCGACAGCCAGCAGGTGAAAATAGTGGACTACAGGTGCAACAACGGACAGTTCGGTCTCTACGGATCCGATATCATTTATTTCTGTTTAGGCTACGTCTGCAAAGATGCGGCAGAGAAACAGCTGAATTCAAACAACATTTAGCTTTTCAGGGATCTCAAATAACATAATGACGTTGTTTTTTTTAAAAACAAATATGTAATAGATTATATATATATATATATATGTGTGTGTGTGTGTGTGTGTGTGTGTGATATATATAATATAATATTCACTGTATGTATAATATATGTGAGATAGTTTTAAATAGATGAGCATCATAACACATGAAAGAGTCAAATGGTTTGGTCATCTGGTCAGGATAAACAAAACCAAATCAGTCAGCACCTAGAGCGTACTATGTTTGATCGGCTGGCTACAAGGTAAGACATCGATTAAAAGAGGCACTGCAGAAACTCAATATGACATTGTAACACAAGCTACACAACTAGCAAAGGAAGGAAACTACAAATGGTTCCTCTGTGCGATGCATAATCAGAAATACGCAAATAAACAGAAGAAAAGAAAAACAGAGAGCAGGAAAGAGAGCAGGAAAACCAAATGTACGTAACGTTTTAAAACGTACAACATTCATAAGTGATTTTCATTGTTGAACTGTACACGCCATTTTCCCACCAGATGTCATTTTACGTTACCCCTAACCGCCCCCCCCCCCCCTTTTTTTTTTTACCGTATATTTTTTTAATCGGAAGTGGATAAACACCCACCTTCGGATTCGAAGTTCTTGGGTACTAATCCGAATGGAGCCCAACTTTTTTTTTTTAATATACATATATAAATTAAACTGGCACCCATCTCGATCCAGCATTAAAAGGGTACCAGGTAAAGTCCTGGGAGGTTGAGACCGTGATCTCATGGCCCACCGAGTGACGACTGATCTATAAAATATAGATCTAGCAATGTAAACCAAAGGGCCTGCAGATGTGGAAAATGATCCTTTGCTTTCACCTTTTACTGTCCATATACATTGTGTGTTGTTTTTTTTTTTTTTAAGTATACTTTTGTTTTTCAGTCCGACGTCAGCCGGAGAGATGTTGCTAAAATTAATTCAACGATCGTCTTTATCGCACACTGGACATGACCATAAGTGCTCCAATCTCCTGAGTATGTCCTCAAGTGTTTTTAGCCTAACACCTCCCATTCTCTTCTGGTTGACGTAAGGACGCTAACACCTCCCATTCTGTTCTGGTTGATGTAAGGACGCTAACACCTCCCATTCTGTTCTGGTTGATGTAAGGACGCTAACACCTCCCATTCTGTTCTGGTTGATGTAAGGACGCTAACACCTCCCATTCTGTTCTGGTTGATGTAAGGACGCTAACAACTCCCATTCTGTTTTGGTTGATGTAAGGACGCTAACACCTCCCATTCTGTTCTGGTTGATGTAAGGACGCTAACACCTCCAGTTCTGTTCTGGTTGATGTAAGGAGGCTAACAACTCCCATTCTGTTCTGGTTGGTGTAAGGACGCTAACAACTCCCATTCTGTTCTGGTTGATGTAAGGACGCTAACAACTCCCATTCTGTTCTGGTTGATGTAAGGACGCTAACAACTCCCATTCCGTTCTGGTTGATGTAAGGACGCTAACAACTCCCATTCTGTTCTGGTTGATGTAAGGACGCTAACACCTCCCATTCTGTTCTGGTTGATGTAAGGACGCTAACACCTCCCATTTCTTTCTGGTTGATGTAAGGACGCTAGCACCTCCCATTCTGTTCCTGTTGATGTAAGGACGCTAACAACTCCCATTCTGTTCTGGTTGATGAAAGGACGCTAACAACTCCCATTCCTTTCTTATTGATGTAAGGACGCTAACAACTCCCATTCTGTTCCGGTTGATGTAAGGACGCTAACACCTCCCATTCTGTTCTGGTTGATGTAAGGACGCTAACAACTCCCATTCTGTTCTGGTTGATGAAAGGACGCTAACAACTCCCATTCTGTTCTGGTTGATGTAAGGACGCTAACAACTCCCATTCTGTTCTGGTTGACGTAACGACGCTAACAACTCCCATTTTTCTGGTTAATGTAAGGACGCTAAAACCTCCCATTCTGTTCTGGTTGATGTAAGGACGCTAACACCTCCCATTCTGTTCTGGTTGATGTAAGGACGCTAACAACTCCCATTCCGTTCTGGTTGATGAAAGGACACTAACAACTCCCATTCCTTTCTGGTTGATGTAAGGACGCTAACACCTCCCATTCTGTTCTGTTTGATGTAAGGACGCTAACACCTCCCATTCTGTTCTGGTTGATGTAAGGACGCTAACACCTCCCATTCTGTTCTGGTTGATGTAAGGACGCTAACAACTCCCATTCTGTTTTGGTTGATGTAAGGACGCTAACACCTCCCATTCTGTTCTGGTTGATGTAAGGACGCTAACACCTCCAGTTCTGTTCTGGTTGATGTAAGGACGCTAACAACTCCCATTCTGTTCTGGTTGATGTAAGGACGCTAACACCTCCCATTTAGTTCTGGTTGATGTAAGGACGCTAACATCTCCCATTCTGTTCTGGTTGATGTAAGGACGCTAACACCTCCCATTCTGTTCTGGTTGATGTAAGGACGCTAACACCTCCCATATTGCTCTGGTTGATGTAAGGACGCTAACAACTCCCATTCTGTTCTGGTTGATGTAAGGACGCTAACAACTCCCATTCCGTTCTGGTTGATGTAAGGACGCTAACAACTCCCATTCTGTTCTGGTTGATGTAAGGACGCTAACACCTCCCATTCTGTTCTGGTTGATGTAAGGACGCTAACACCTCCCATTTCTTTCTGGTTGATGTAAGGACGCTAACACCTCCCATTCTGTTCTGGTTGATGTAAGGACGCTAACAACTCCCATTCTGTTCTGGTTGATGAAAGGACGCTAACAACTCCCATTCCTTTCTTATTGATGTAAGGACGCTAACAACTCCCATTCTGTTCCGGTTGATGTAAGGACGCTAACACCTCCCATTCTGTTCCTGTTGATGTAAGGACGCTAACAACTCCCATTCTGTTCTGGTTGATGAAAGGACGCTAACAACTCCCATTCTGTTCTGGTTGATGTAAGGACGCTAACAACTCCCATTCTGTTCCAGTTGATGAAAGGACGCTAACAACTCCCATTCTGTTCTGGTTGATGTAAGGACGCTAACAACTCCCATTCTGTTCTGGTTGACGTAACGACGCTAACAACTCCCATTTTTCTGGTTAATGTAACGACGAGTGGCTCCCGCGTAACTTTCCTGTCTCACTGCTCCACTTGTATGCAGCCTATTCGTGGAAAATAATTTTAAATGAACCTGACACCCTCACAGCGTTTAGTCTTGTATGGCATTGATGATGTCTCTCCTGTCCATAGAGGGCCCATTCACGATAGTCGCACTGCCAGCCATTGCGTCAGCAGGTAATGACAAATATGACTGACTGACTGACTTTCTAACCCACCAGGACATCACACAAGCGATAAACACCCGATGACACAATGTGCCACCATGTGGGTGAGGATCGCCGTGGAGAGCCTGTCAGCCTTTAGGCCATATTTAGGGCCAGGCTATATTGCGGCCCCTGGCAAAAGCCAGAGTAGGGCTTCAAAAAACGAAAAATTTCATCCTAAAAAAGACGAAAAGTAAGCGAAAATGACAAATATGCCCAAGCCGTCCTTTTATATTCTCAGAAACTACCTATCTATTTGTCTTTCTCTGTGTAATGCAGTTACGCGTCTCAGGCACGGCTAATGATCGGGTTGTGGAATAGTGCGAGCTCGTTAGCTTGCTGCATTGCGATATTGTCGAGTTCAAGAAAATGTTAACTCCATCCACCCATGTCCCTTCTTGTCTTCCTTTACGTTCAAATATTTCCCATTTCCATGTTGTATGCTGTCGCAACCGGTGACGCTGGGTTCATTCTGACTAGGTGGCCAACCTATTTTAGTGGGGTTATTTATTTTTAAGCAGTGGTGGTGTTTAGGGGGGGGGGGGGGGTTAATCTAATTACAAGTTTTGTTTCCTCCATTTTAATCATATCTTAGTTTTTTTTTTTTTTTAATAAGCTGAACATTAAAGAGTGAGCAATGAACACTGTCTAAAATGAAGGCATACTTAACATTGTTAAAATTTTATTTTGGGACAGCCTTATGTCCTCTCTTGAGAGCTTCCTTGGTGTAGCGGCTAGATGCTCGCCTGCGTAGGTTCAAATCTCTATAGAGCCGGTCTTTTTGCAAGCATGACTTCCAGAACCCTGATTTCATGGTCGACCTAGCCTTACATGGGTATCAGGTAAAGTCATGAAAAGTAAAAACGGCCGGCGTTAGATTGATCACAACACCTACCTATATCTGATACGCCAGCTGACGCGTAAAGGGACCCTTTTTATGGCTTTACTTGCAGTTGTTTTCGCTTTGAAATGAATTCTGTCCGTATTCCATAGTTGTGGATTTCATTCAAGCTGTACGATAGACATGGCCAATAAGACACTTTTTTTCTTGGGGATGCCTAGTTGACCATGTTCTTAGTGCACTTGTATTCATGGCGAGGCGCAGACGCCGTCTGGAGGTGACAGGTTCAATTCCCGGCACGGTAACTATAGCTTTCGATTTTTATGTTGTCTAGTGTGTTCTTCTATCTTTCTACTTCTTTCTATGAGTGCCGATCAAAAAACTTTCTGTTACTCGATTTTCGCTTTGAAGAAGGGACGTAAGAAATACAATACCCTACGCTAGCAAGAGTCAGTCGCATCCTGTAACTACAAATGGGTGCTGCTGAGTCAGTGTATTGTCATGACGCTCGCTGTCTTGTCTACTGTCTAAATGTAAACTATGGTGGACGGTTTAACACCAACAGAGATCGGGTCGCCTATTGGCTGGCCGATAGACGACTTCTTCGCCGATAAGGACAAAAATGTGGCTCTGTCTCCTTTGATCGCATCAAGAGGCAAAAGTTACTTCAGAGCTACTTGGTTGCGAACAAAGCTAAGACATTATATATGGCGCACGTAACCTAGTGAGAAAAACAAGCTAAAGTTTCCCTTTCGGTAATGCTGGTTGAGCAGAACTATTTTTGTTTCCGCAAAGAAAACAAGCAGTTTGATAACCGAA